GAGCCGCCCGCAAGCCCTGGACCGGGGAAGGGGCGGATGGCGCGAAGCCGCTTTAACCGCAGTCGCCGCGCGGAGGCAAGAGCCTGACCTGGCCGCTTCCTAAGTGCGGTCAGGCATCCCGTGACCGCGGCGGGCGCCGCGGGCGCCGCGGGCCCCGCAGGGGGGGAGGGAGGGCCGGGCAAGAAGCAAAACACGAGGCTCTCACCCCTCCCCCGGGCTGTTTCACAAGAGGCTTTCCGCCAAATTAAAACCCCAAGCCTGAAACTGGGGGTGAAGGGAATGTATGGTGGGGTGTTGGAATAATTCCTCCTCTCCAAGATCGGGCGTGCGCTCCCAGTCCGGAAGGGCTGACCTTGGCCAGGGAAGGGGGTGGGGAATAAGCGCCAAGGCTCGGCTCTCAGCCCGCCGCCCCCTTGGATTCCTGGCCCGGCGGGGGCTGGAGGAGGGGGCCCCGGACACACACACACCCCACACGCAGCGCGCGCCAATGAGCCAGGGCCAGGCGCAGGGGGCGGGGTTTTCCCAGGCTCGAGCACAGCAGCTGCTATTTACCTTCTTGGCTTCTCCCGGGGACCAGGAACCAGCCCCCGCGCTCCGTCGCCCGCCGCCCCCCCCACCCCGCCTCCCTGCCCCCGGGGCGCGCGCACACACACTCACACACGCACGCACTCACACATCCTCCCGGCTCGGCCGCAGCCGAGGCGGCAATAAAACATCCTGGCACGTGCTCCGGCTTCAGGCGCGCCCTCGCCGGCCGGCTGATGTCAAACTGCAGCTTGGCTGGTGCAGTTCTTAAAGGGCCCGCGCGCGCCGGGCGCCCAGGCCGCCCCAGCCGCTCGCGGGGTGGGGAGGAGAGGAGAGCCTGCTGCCTGGCCTGCCACCACGACAAGCCGCAGAATCGAGACCCTGCGGGTAGGAAGGGCAAGGGTGGCGAGGGCGCGCGTGTGTCTCTGAGGCATTGTCATCAAAGCCCCCCTTGTTCATCTTTCATTTGAAATTTCATTTCCTTTCTGCTTAGTTGGAAGCTATTCTGATTGCTTCCTAGGAAGCACAGGGTTCGAGGCCTCAACTCTAGAAGTGGAATTGGAGACAGGGTAGGGGGAGCATTCTGTTTTGTTCCGAAAAACTTGCAAATGTAAGGTGGAAGGCATTTTTTTTTTCCTTTTTGTGTATGCAAATGCAAGCTTCACGCTGGATTGGTTTTCTCCTCCCTCGATATATAAAAAGTCTGAGCGGGAAATCCCTTAGACGTTTCAGTAACGCACGCCCTTGCATTCATTCCCCTTTTAACTGCTGCTAGTGTATTTTATGTCTGCTCTTCAAAAATATTTTTTAAATGAGCTGCTTATTGCAGTGAAAGAAGTTCTATTAAACAAAGAAAAGAGATATAGAGCAAAGACCCTAGAACCAGAAGAAATAAACAAAACCAAAACCAATGCGGGAAAACGTCTAATGCAACGCTTGACGGGACGAATAACAAAGGGTTAAAATCCTTTTGATTGACGTTGTAGCCTCTGGTGCCCCGGGCAGAGGCGCGCGCCATTGGCCGCCAGGCCTTGCGCCTCGTGGCCAATGGGGGGGCGCGGTCCACGAGCGGTGCCGCGTGTCTCCTCCTCCCATTGGCTGAAAGTTACTGTGGGAAAGAAAGTTTGGGAAGTTTCACACGAGCCGTTCGCGTGCAGTCCCAGATATATATAGAGGCCGCCAGGGCAGAGGAAGATCACACAGGATCCGGAGCTGGTACTGATAACAGCGCAATTCCCCTTCTACCTCTCTCCTTGGTCCTGGAATAACTCTACCTATCACCCAGTAGCCATAAAATATAATAAACTCTCAGCACTTGATCAGTAGCTTTGTGAAAGTCTTAAGTAAAAAGGACATACAATTTTTTTGTATGAAGAAATCAAAATATATAATTCTCTAGGGATTTAAAAAAAAAAAAAACGAAAATGCCAGCTGACATAATGGAGAAAAATTCCTCGTCCCCGGTGGCTGCCACCCCAGCCAGTGTCAACACGACACCGGATAAACCAAAGACAGCATCTGAGCACAGAAAGGTAAGGGCGGTACCCTTCTCTCTCGGCAGCTCCAAGAAATGGGTTGGGGGACCCTTTTCCCTTAAAATTTAGGGGTTGAAAAGTCAGTTCCCTTGGGAACTCAATCTCTCTTACTACTTTGCAGTCATCAAAGCCTATTATGGAGAAAAGACGAAGAGCACGAATAAATGAAAGTCTGAGCCAGCTGAAAACACTAATTTTGGATGCTCTTAAAAAAGATGTAAGTGGGGGAATGATGCTTTTATTTATTTTTTAATTTACGCAGTAAGTACTATTTATTTGAGGCTAAAAATGAAACCCCCTTGCTGGCGGGATTTTCTCTGTCAGCGCTGCGCTCTCCCACGCGGGAGAGCAGGTCCGGGATATTGGCGCCGCAGTCGGGGGGATGGGACGCAGCCTTTCGAGGCCGCTGCCAGAGATCTCACTTTTCTCCCTTGCCTCCTCTCCTGTGCAGAGTTCGCGGCATTCCAAGCTGGAGAAGGCAGACATCCTGGAAATGACAGTGAAGCACCTCCGGAACCTGCAGCGGGCGCAGATGACGGGTGAGGGCAGCTTGCCGCGTCCCCTCTGCGGGCGTCCCTCTCGCCCCGCGGTGATTTCTTCCAGACTTCCGCCCGCGGTTGTGAGAGGCATTCAGCTACATTTTACTGCCTTGGCTCACGCTCGCGTTCCCACGGTCTGGGGCTTATTTATAGCCACAACTCCAAGTTGTTACTGTTCCGGAAAAGGAGGGAGGAAGAGAGGTTATAGACGCGAGGGTGGCGGGCAAGCTTGGGTGTAGGAGGGGAAGCTGATGGGGGCAGGAGGACTTAGGACCGCAGCGGTTTTGAGCTGCATGGAGTCTGGGAGTTAACTGGTTTAGCACTCTCCTTACCCCAATTTACAGAAAGGGAAATAAGGCTTAGGTGGCGGAGGGGCGCATTGTCCAAGGTCATTCCACGCACTCGGCGGTGGGGGGGGGGGGCGGGGGCGGGGGGCGCAGATCGGGAACTGCGATAGATATAAATGGAGCGACAGGGAGTAGGGAGCCAGCGTTTCTCTGCCTTCGCTTCGCCAGTGAAGGGAGGTGGCTGGTTTTTCTAAACCCACCACAGCCCGAGGCAGTTCCGTGGTCAGGGTGGGACGCCGCGGGGACCTCCCAGCGCGGGAGGAGGTGGCGCCCGGACCAGGCCGTTCTGTGATGGCCTGTCCCCTTCTGACACGCAGCTGCGCTGAGCACCGACCCGAGCGTGCTGGGGAAGTACCGCGCCGGTTTCAGCGAGTGCATGAACGAGGTGACCCGCTTCCTGTCCACGTGCGAGGGCGTTAACACCGAGGTGCGCACCCGGCTACTGGGCCACCTGGCCAACTGCATGACCCAGATCAACGCCATGACCTACCCGGGACAGCCGCACCCCGCCTTGCAGGCGCCGCCGCCGCCCCCGCCAGGCCCCGGGGGCCCCCAGCACGCGCCGTTCGCGCCGCCGCCTCTGGTGCCCATCCCCGGGGGTGCGGCGCCCCCTCCCGGTGGTGCGCCCTGTAAATTGGGAAGCCCGGCCAGCGAGGCAGCCAAAGTATTCGGCGGCTTCCAGGTTGTGCCGGCTCCTGATGGCCAGTTTGCCTTTCTCATCCCCAACGGGGCCTTTGCTCACAGCGGGCCGGTCATCCCCATTTACACCAGCAACAGCGGGACCTCAGTGGGCCCCAATGCAGTGTCGCCTTCCAGTGGCCCCTCGCTCACTGCGGACTCCATGTGGAGGCCGTGGCGAAACTGAGGGGCTCAGGCTACTCCTCCCTGTAAACTCCCCAACCCACTTTTCTTCCCTCCGGACACTAAACAGGGACTTGGATGTTGGGAGAGAAGAGGACTTTTGTGATTAAGTGGTTACTTTGGTTTTTTAATTTCTAAAAAGTTACTTTTTTTGTAGAGAGCTGTATTAAGTGACTGACCATGCACTATATTTGTATATATTTTATATGTTCATATTGGATTGCGCCTTTGTATTATAAAAGTTAAGATGACATTTCGTTTTTTACACGAGATTTCTTTTTTATGTGATGCCAAAGATGTTTGAAATGCTCTTAAAATGTCTTCCTTTTTGGAAGTTTATTTGAGAAAATATAATAAAAGAAAAAAGTCCAGGTTTTTCTGTTTTAGAATTATTTCAGAATATGTAAAGAGGCTCTTGGTGGAATTTGAGTTACATGTAATCTGGGTGTTTTAAAAATCGGCACTTAGATTACTAAAAAAGTAACATTTTATAAAAATCTATCAAACCTATTTATTACCAGCCTTCCATGTGCTAAAAGGCTCAATCTCCTTGAATTTACAAGGTATGAGATGTGGCTTCCCTGACCAATTTGGGCAGCGTCTTCAAGGATTTCAAACATTTTTAAAGTTGCAGCTGGGCAAGTCATTCAGTCTTCACACTAGCTCCTTCTGAGGAAGGCTTGAGTGGGACTGAGTTCGTGAAGTTAATGGATCCAATCCGATGGTCCACTGCACCTTAAGGGCCGCTCCTGCATCACTGCTCCTGTGGGGTAGCTTACCAACTTCCAAAGTAAAACTTTCAACTGCTGCAGCCTCCTGGCTTCCAGTGTTGGAGTCTTCATTAATTAGTTCACCTTTTAAGTGCAGCTAGGCATTCTCTTGCACCAGCTTTCAAAAGTTTGAAATGCCTCTCTGCACCCTCTTCAAGCAAGCTGAGAAGGTCAACAGATTTCTTCTGCCAAGGGACAGCTAGTTAGACTCCCAAGTGGAGCCGGAACCCAGATGATTAACACCAGACATGTGTTTTTGATAAGTTTCTGTGCTTGGCTCTAATAGAGAAAGCATGTGGGGCCGGGCTGGCAGGCACACAGGCCATCTTCCCCTTTTAATACAAACAGCAAGCGACCCCTTCCCTTGGTCATGCCCCATTTCCAGGCAAGATGTGGGCTCCAGATAGAAGCAAAAGGGTTGTCTCGGGTTTCAGCTCACATAACCCTCCTTAACAAGTCCTAACTCAAAGCGGACAGCTTTAAACTGTGCCAGGATCTGCAGGGAATTTCTTCCAAATCCCATCACAAAGGCTTGTCAGATTTTGTCAGATTTGGCCAGGTGTTTGACTGCATCCAGGTGTTGGGGAAATGAAAACCACGAGCCCTGCGAGACCAGACACATCAGCCGCGCTGTGGGTCTGGCGGGCGCGCCCTCTTCCCCGCGCCGCTGGCCAGTCCTCCCAGCCTTCGCCCCTCCCGCCAGCCTCCCCCCACTCCTGACCCCCCTTCTCTTCTAAGAATGGCTTCTGGGAGGAGAAGGATGAGGCGGGAGAGATCAATCTTTGAAGCCTTCCTAACAAAGATAAAGGCAACGATTTTCTGTCTTGTTTCAAAAGCTTTACCTCTCCCCCGCCTTGCTCAAGCCTTTCCCACAGGCCAGTGTGGAGAGCGGCTCTATCACAGGAATGATCTAGCAGACAGACTCAATTTTCTGCTCAAATACCTTCAGACCCAGCTTCAGCCTCAGAGAGGGGTTAAAATTATTTTTTAAAAAAATCGCTGGCTCCTACTTGCACCATTTTGCATATATGAAAGGTGCCACCATCCTCCTCAAAAAGAATACTCCCTCCTTTCTCATACCATTTTTTTTTTTTGGCGTTTTCCCTCTTGTTTAAACACAAACATCTTAACAATTGTTCCATTAAGACACCCAACCGAAGATCAAATGCTTGATTTGGTAAACCTGACCTCAGGCCCCACTAGGAGTCCTTAACAGACATCAGGGCTCCAGTTTTATAAAAATTATTTCCTTTTATTTATGTTCTTAAAAATTCACAGAAAAACAGTGCAACCTCCACACCAGCTTAAAGTTATATCTCACCCTATGCTGAAAGGGAACAACTGAAAAGGTGCTTTTTTATTAATACCAGCAAAATCACCTAAGTATCTTCCTCAGAGAAGAACAAATCGAAGGAAAATTAAACATTTGTTCATTTGAAAATAATTGAAGTTTCAAAAACAATATTCTTTTTTTCTGAAATTTGAGTTTAACATTAGGTGTTTCTGTACAATACGGCAGGGGTAAATATCTGAGGACTTTTAGGTTCCTGTCCTGACTTTGCTACAAAATTCACTATGTCACCTTGGGTAAGTCATTTCCCTTCTTTGGGACCCGTTTCTGTGTCTGTAAAACGAGTGGGTTTATTTCTAAGACCCTGTACCCTCCTCCAATGCCTTGTTTCTGGAAGTCAAGTAGCAGGGGGAAAGGCAAAGTTTCAAAAACTTCAATCCTGCCTGCTGCCCGGAGTTCCCTGGGGTCTGGCCTAATTACCAGGCCCTGGGACACACCCAGCAGTGCCGATCACGCCACGAGATAAGGCATAACTCTGCGCTCCGGGCGCGGGCCTCCGGCTTCGGCTGCCACTCGCATTAACTTCTCAATGGAGAACCTTCTGGGCTTGGCCTCGCAACGTCCCCCGCAGCATCCGGAGGGAGAAAGGCGCCAAGCTGGAAGGGGGACCTTGCTGGGTCAAGACATCTTCTCAAGCAGTTCGTAAGCGCCACTCGGAGGCGTGCCCCATCCTACCCCACGTAGGGAGTGGGGGCCTAGGGGTTAAATTGGACCCCCTCATCGTCACCACCGTCCCGGGAAACCTGTCATTAAAGTCAATTAACTTTTCCCACACCCCTTGGCGGGTAACAATCCGCTGCTAGCTTCCTCCCAGGCTCCTAAATGCAACCAGATGGGCGGACGCAGCTGCCCCCGCCGCACGCCCGCTGGTCGGCCTAGGGGTTCTAGGGACGCCGCCGGGACCCGCGGCCCGGGCGGGATCGGGGCAGGGCGGCCACGGCGGCCTGGCCCCGGCAGCCCTGCGGCCAAGGTGGTTTGCTTAGCAGGCCCGGCTGCTTTCTGGCAGGAAATGAATAGCTCCCAGATGAGCTCAGGCAACCTGAGAAGTCGTGAGAACGGCGCGACCCCCCGCCTGTACAGCCGGCAGCCTGCCAGGCCGCAGGGGGAGCGGGCGGCGGCAGGAGGCCAGGAGGCCCGGCGGGCGGGCGGGCGCGCGGGCGGGCGGCGGCGAGGGGAGGAGGGAGGAGGGAGCCGCTGACACACGAGTCCGCGCCCGCTCCCGCTGACAGGCAGGCAGCCGCCCGCGCCGGGCCGCCTCCCCCGCTTCCCCCGCCCCAGGCCCCAGCGCCTCCCAAGCAGCAGGCTCAAGCCGCAGAAATGCGGCCGCCCGGCCTCGCCGGGGCCTGGAGGTGGGGCCGCCTGCCAGTGTTTTTCCAGTTCCCCCGGTAGCTCCAGGCCGCATTTAGAAGCCAAGGAAACTAGGCGGAGGCCAGTGTCGGGGCACCAGAGGCCCTCCCTGCCTGCGGAGCGCAGCCACCCTTTAGGCCAGGCCAAGGCAGGAGTAGGCAGAGGTGGGGGAGGGCGGGGCAGGGGCGACTCAGCCCAGAGCCGTCCCATAAAAGACAATCACCAAATAGCAAATATGGACACCTTACCAAATTCACCTCACTTCTAAATACCTATCTGACCACTGTTGTTGTTGTTATGTGCCGTCGAGTCAGCCGTGACTCATAGCGACCCCTCCTTGGGTTTCCGAGGCAGTATCACTACGGACCCCTCCTTGGGTTTCCGAGGCAGTATCACTACGGAAGTAGGATTGCCCAACCTTCCTTCCGAGGAGTGGCTGATGGGTTTGAACCGCCAGCCCTCTGGTGAGCAGTCAAGTGCCTTAGCCACTATGCTACCAGAGCTCCCAAAAAACCAACCTACTCATTGTCGTCTAGTGGATTTGACTCATAGTGACCTCTCCGTGGGTTTCCAAGCCAGTATCGCTAGGGAAGTAGACTGCCCAATCTTTCTTCCCAGGAATGGCTGGTGGGTTTGAACTGCCAACCTTCTGGTTAGCAGTCAAATGCCTTAGGCACTATGCCAGCAGAGTGTGGCATTTGACCACTAGGCCCACTAAATCAAACCAAACCAAACTCACTGCCATGGAGTTGATTTCGACTTATAGCGACCCCTCCTTGGGTTTCCGAGGAGATAGCTCTATGGAAGTGGATTGCCCAACCTTCCTTCAGAGGAGTGGCTGGTGGGTTTGAACCGCCAGCCTTCTGGTTAGCAATCAAATGCCTTAGGCACTATGCCACCAGGGCTCCTATACAGGGACTAAAAGATAATAATTCGTACACTGCCTGCCCTCTCAGAGCTCAGTATTTGGCCAGGGAGATACACAAATACACAAGTGACTCATCCTCGGCATAGCGTGTTAGTTGCCAAAAATGAAGCTTAAACAAAGGGCACCTAGAAAAGAGAGATTAATTCTGATTTGAGACGAAACCAGGGAGGTTTTTCGGAGAGTTGGCACAGGAAGCTGAGAGGTGAAAGATAAGTAGGAGTTTAACAAAAAGGAATAGGAAGGTGAGGGAAACTGCAGGCACAGGTAAATGTATAGATCAGAGCTGGGGAAATTTGAAGAAGTCTGCCGTGATTGTATTTAAATTTTCAAATACATAAATTGGCTTAGAGGTCAAAATAGGGTCAAGTTGTCTACTTCAGCTCACAGTTTACTGCATTATAGCCCAGGAGTTAAAAACACCAGAACTGGCTTCAGAATGCTCAGATTTTCAGCAAATCTCAAGTCTGTGACCTTAGGCAAATTACTTAACCTCTCTGTGCCTCAGTTTTGTAATTCTATACCTCATTTGTAATTTAGGGCTCAAAAACCAGTTGCCATAAAGTCAAATCTGACTCATGGCTACCCCTTGAGTATCATAGTAGAGCTGTGTTCCATAGGGTTTTCAGCGGCTGATTTTCCAAAATAGATCGCCAGCCTTTCTTTCCAGATGCCTCTATTTGAACCACCAACTTTTGGGTTAGCTGTGGAGTACATTAATCATTTGTACCACCCAGGTACTCCTAAGGCTCATTTATTGTTGTTGTTAGTTGCCCTGGAGTCAATTCCAACTCATACCCACCTTATTGTGCAGAGTAGAACTATAGAGTTTTTAAAGCTGTGGCCTTTCAAGGCTCCCAAGGCACCTGCAAGTGTGTTCGAACCCATATTCTTAAAGCTAGTTATCACGTGCTTAACCGCTTGTGCCGGAAACTCCTTCCTAGGGCTCATTGTTGCTGTTAGGTGACTTTGAATTGGTTCCAAC